GAATAGTGCAAGGCCTTTGGAACCTCAAAGCCCACCCACAATGACGTACTTCCTCCTGCCAAACCACGCTTCCTAGACCTCCCCCGGAAGTGCTACCAGCTGGCAACCAAGTGTTCAGATGCCAGAGCCCATGTGAGAGATTTATCATTTAAACCAATTCCTCCCTCTTAGACATCTGAACTAGAAATAGACCAGGGAGGATATGGTCGGAGTAGAAAAGAGGGAGAAGCAAGGGCCATCCCGCCATCAGACTGTGAGTCAGCAGCCAAGGTCACCAGCAGGCTGCAGACACACAGTAATTGACCCTCTGCTACCCTGTCCTGTTGTCCTGATGTGCTGATGTCAGCCAGTTGTCTGTTCTCGACAGTGAGGGTGAGTGAGAGGGCGGGTAAAAGTCAGGGTCGGCGAAATGGACCTCAGGCAAGCCTCCAGTCCCTCACACATTAGCATGGAAGTGTTAAGGATGGAGGGGTCTGGGGGCTCTGAGTGGGTGAGCATCCCTGCCGCCGAGTGTATACGAGGAAGAAATACATCTGATGTCTAAGTTAGGAACTGATCTATTGGGGCAGCTAGTGGTTAATTATATAACACGGCAACACACCACTTGGCCGTTTGCATATTGTAATTATTCTCATGATGGTAGCATGGTAACATGTAGTTAAAGAGAACCGGTAAGTCAGGAACTTCTGTTAGTCCCTGGTGTCTGCCCTAACCCTGGCATCGCCTGCACCATCTCATAGGGTAAGTTTTCCACATCTTGCCTCGTTTAAAGGAAAATTACATATCCCATGGCCTTCAACTTAACCACAAGTGACCGCTCTTAGAAGTATAAAATATAGAGAGGGCAGAAAGATGGCTCAGTGGGTAAGGGCACTTGTCACAAAGCCAGATGACCTGAGTTTGAGCCCTTGCACCCACATAGTGGGAAGAAAGAACCAAATCCCACCAAATCAATGGAGTTTATCCCAGAAAAGCAAACCAGGCCATAGCTGGGGCCCCTACGGCCTTGAGTTTCCAGGTGATGGAAGTGAGCACTCCTATATCTGGTGAATCTTTCTGAAAACAGCTGAAACCACTTCCTGCAGGATACGCCCAATTTCCAGGGTATTCCCAGCCACACCCTCCCTTGTTTCCCAGGGCCCGGCCTTTCCCTGTCTGCTGCTTTTTCTCCGCATCTCTGATGCGATCGACGTTCCACTTGCCAGGAAAAATTCTAGCGTTTCTTCGCCAGCTGCACCGGGAGAGACCCGGGCTCATCTTGTATTTCTGGCAGCCGTGTGCCGCCGTCATACCACTTTGTGGCTCCGGGAACTTGTGTGGAGCTCATACTGGGCCATCTGCCTCCACACACCATGCTGATATCCGTCTGCTCTGGTAGCTGCGGGACTGAGGCGTCCTTCCGTTTTCTGCTTCCCCCTGCAGTGGGGCTGAATATTCTGTTCTAGAAGCCCTGTGTATACTAGGGTGTTACATTATTCCTCTCTCTGAGGGGATCCATTCTCAGGAGCACGCTGGTGACTGGTGGATAGTCATGAACACAGTCCCTTTGTGCTTTTCTTTCAAATCCCCTTATTTTCCGTCAATAGCAAAATGTTCTTGAGTTGTTTGGGACCAGAGGAAGCTGTGGACTTTCCCTGGAAACCCATTATCTTACTGTCTGAGCCAAGCTTTAAGTCTCTCTCTCTCTCTCTCTCTCTCTCTCTCTCTCTCTCTCTCTCTCTCTCTCTCTCTCTCTCTCTCTCTCTCGGCTGTCATTCCTTCTCCAGGGTAGTGAAGGTTGAGTCCCTTAGGTCGAGTGACAAATCACCAGAATGAAATAGATGGACAGCAGTGTGTGCTAATGATTGACGGTTTCAGCTGTGCTAATATTGCGGCTTGTTTGTGATGGGGGAGTTTCTTCAGTCAATAAAGAAGAGGGATTTGCCATTATGGGGGGGTGAAGGTTCTCTGGCTTCGAATTTTGAAGGTTTCGCTCTAGTTTATTTTTTGAGAGGGTGTCCTCTTTGTCAACAGTGAGGACCAATTCTCATCGATTCAGTTTGTCCCTTTATCCGTGGACTTTGATTCTGCTGGTTGGTTCACGTTACCTCGGCGATGGGGACTGTAGGTTTGCAAAGAAAAATAGCCGATATTTAAACCGCATGTCGGAGTAACAAGTGTTACCTCCCAGTACTCCGTGCATACCAATTCATTTTAAAAATTCATTTATTTTTGAGGGAAATAATGAGATACCGTTCAAAGTAGAAATAGAATTTTAAACCTACCCAGTCTAGTTCCCAGGCCTGTGTGCTTAATTATTAAGCTAGATGACCTCTTATGGTCAGGACTAATTGGGAGGAAAGAGAAAGAGAGCTGTAATTATGGGTACACTTTCCTAATTTGACCTAGCAGTGCCAATCTTTCAAAATTGAAATGATGTGCCTCACTCTATTTTAAATTACCCCAAATTAAAGATTATGAGTAGCTATGTGAATGCTTATAATAAAGTGCAGTGCTTAAGATTTTCTAAAAAAGATTTATTATGTACACAATGTTCTACCTGCATGTATGCCTGCAGGCCAGAAGAGGGTGCCAGATCTCATTACAGATGGTTGTGAGCCACCATATGATTGTTGGGAATTGAACTCAGGTCCTCTGGAAGAATAGCCAGGGCTCTTAACTGATGAACCATCTCTTCAGGCTCAATTGAGATTTTTTTTGTTTGAGCCAGGTGTTGGTGGCGCACGCCTTTAATCCCAGCACTCGGGAGGCAGAGGCAGGCGGATCTCTGTGAGTTCAAGGCCAGCCTGGTCTAGAGAGAGAGTTCCAGGACAGCCTCCAAGCCACAGAGAAACCCTGTCTCGAAAAACCAAAAAAAAAAAAAAAAAAAAGTTTGTTTGTTTTTGTTTTTTGAGACAGGGTTTCTCTGTGGCTTTGGAGGCTGTCCTGGAACTAGCTCTTATAGACTTGGCTGGTCTGGTACTCACAGAGATCCACCTGCCTCTGCCTCCTGAGTGCTAGGATTAGAGGCGTGTATCACCACCACCAGCTGGTGCAAAAGAAAGGTTTATTTATTTACTTTTTACTTACTTGGGGGGGGGTGGGCATTGAGGCAGGGCTTCTCTATGTAATTGTTCCGTGGTTGTCTTGGAACTTGTTTTGTAGACCAGGCTGGCCTTGAACTCACAGAGATCCACCTACCTCTGCCTCCTGAGTGCTGGGATTAAAGGTGTTCACCACCACCACCACCACGTAATTAAGATAATTTTAAAGCTATTAAACTTTTATTATTGGGGCCCAGCAGCAGTGTCCACATGCTTTTAATCCCAGCAACAAAAAGTTATTATCGATTTTGTGTGTGTGTGTGTGTGTGTGTGTGTGTGTGTGTGTGTGTGTGAGAGAGAGAGAGAGAGAGAGACAGACAGAGACAGAGAGAGAGAGAGAGGGAGAGGTTATGGTGCATGTGTCGAGGTACACATGTGGTCAAAGGAAAACTTTGTGGGTCAGTTCTGTGCTTGTACATTTATGTGGGTTCCAGGTATTGAACTCAGGTCACACAGGTGCCCGCTGAACCATCTCATTGACTGTAGGCTGTCAATTTTTAAGATAAACAAACCGAACTTACGTTTTTTCAAAAATGATTTTTGGCCACAAATCAATACATTACACTTAATTTTAATTCCCAAACAGAAATAGTAATTTAAAAATTATGTCAACTAAGCAGTTAAGTAAGAATTTGTTTAGGTTTTTTTTTTTGGTGACATTGAAAGTACTTTTGCCGGGTAAATGAAGAATTGCATGATACAACTTTATTGCCACCTAGTGGCAGCATGGTGCATTGTGGAGAGATTGAGGCTCATCTGCCACCCCCTTGGCCGCCACCTTCTTTGTTTCTGTCAATATTAACCAGCTCTCTGAGGTGGCCCCTTTTGGCTCCCTTGCCAGTAACTTTTGAGTACATTGTGTTACTGGTTTGATTTAGAACAGATTACTCCTTTATATTTCTCATTCTGAAGGCACCCGTTTATCTTGAGAGTCATCTCACAGACAGGTCTCTGAATGTGCAAGTTGGTGAACGGTCCATTGTCTCAGCTTCAGACGATCAGCATGGGAAAATGCCCTTGACACCTGATTCAGTCATTAGGAGAGTCTTTAGAGTCAGAGCGAAGCGGAGAATAATACATCAAATATGCAGGCAACCACTCACTGTCTTATGTATTGCTGTGGGTCGAACTGTCTTAAACATGCAGCAGCACGAACAGAAAACATTGAGTATCTTACACAGTCTATGTCCTCAGAGTTTCTAGAGTCAAAGCCTGGCTTCTAGCAGCTTCTACAAGGTAGGCTGGGCCACCCGTCCAAACCAGGTGTCAATTAGAGACAATTAAAGAGACAAGCAATATTGGAAAGCTGAGAAACATTTCTTCGCTGTAGCTACATGGGGAGGAGGGACAGGTCACTAAGAGGTCCAGTGACCCCCGAGTCTGTCTTTGTCCTGATGTGAAGTTTGGGTTTTAGCAGAGAACAAGCAGTTCTAGTCGCTGACCCATCACTGTCTTGGTCCCTACAAGCTTATCAGACAAGTTGTCAGAACTGTGTGAAATCTCTTCTTGCGGAGTCAATTTCCTCTTCTGAGTGGCATCATCGTGACTTTAGCTTTTCCCTTCCTTGAAGACTTCGATGTCAATAATTGTCTGATGGCACCCCCATCCCTGCCCAGTCTCACTATGTATCCCTGGCTGGTCTGGAACTCAATATATAGACCAGACTGGCCTTGAACACATGGAGATCAGCTTGCCTCTGCCTCATGAATGCTAGAACTAAAGGCTTGCACCATCACATTCAGGCAAGTGTCTCTCTTTTCAAGAGAACTGTGAGGACAGTTCCATGCTGCCCAGGGAGCCCAGAGTGGCTTCGCTGGGTGTTCTGTCTCGGGGTTCTCTGCTCGAGTGCGGCATGGGGCCACATTGTCTCAGAGCTCTACGGGGCTGGGAGATCTATTTCTAGACTCACAGAGAAGGCGGGTTTCAGGGGCTTGTTTGCTGCTGCCTAGATTCTCTCTCTCCTTGGACTTGCTCCTCCAGGGCAACAGAGATCTGGGCCGCTGTGAAAGGGAACTGCGCAGACTCGACATAGGAGGTCTGGTTTTAAGGCTGCTTACTCCACAGCCACCAAGCTTTACCGAAGGGTAGCGTTTTGCCTATTTGACTATTTCACAGTAGAGAAACAGATGGGACACAGCTGGTTGTGTTCAGCCACATCATGCTGACTCTCCCTTACGCCGCCCTGTAGGTGATCTCTCTGGTTCACATTTACTTGTAAAGAAGTGTCTTTAGCCCCTGCTGCCATAGAGGAGGAAGAATTGAGCAGGAGAGGTGAGGCGTGAGGGGCATTGAACCAGTCTGGTAGATCGAAACCAATTTTGCTTTGTCACCACCTCTCCAACTCTCCCCCTCCCTCCTTCTCCATCTTTCTTCCTCCCTCTCTTCCTCTCTCCTTCCCTTTTTCTCTCCCTCTATCTGTCTCTTCCCCCTCCCTCCCTCCCTCTTTCTCTCTCTCTCCATCCCTCCCTCCATCCACCCTGTTTACTGTGTGTGTGTGTGTGTGTGTGTGTGTGTGCAGGTGTGAATTCTACAGCACCTGGAAGGTTGGTTCTCTCCTGCCACCTTGTGGGATCCAGAATCAAATTCAGGCTGTCGAGCTTTCAAGGACACCTCTACTCTTTAAATATTGTTCCCCACTCCCAATCATCATGTGTAGTTCAAATGTGTTCTCTCTCTCTCTCTCTCTCTCTCTCTCTCTCTCTCTCTCTCTCTCTCTCTCTCTCTCTCTCTCTCTCTCTCTCTCTCTTCCTCTGGTGAGACAGAATTTCACCTGAGGGCAAGGAGAATGGAATTGAAGAGTAATAGACTGAGGACTTGAAATTCTAAGTTTCACAGTAGGATGTTAGAAGGGGGTCTTGCCTTATCCTTTGCTGCTTTTTTTTCCCTTCCTGTTTTGATATAGGGTCTCATGAATCCCAAACTGGCCTAGAACTGGCAATGAAGTTAAGGACCTTGAACTTCTGGTCCTTTTCGCCCGTGCCTCTTTAGTTCTGGAATTAGAAGTGCGCACCATCACGCCTGCTTACACCATGTTTGGGATTGAAGCCAGGATGTTGTATGTGCTAGGTAAGCATTCTATCCCTAGTGCAGTTTCTACACACAAAAGGAAGTTGGTTTTTTGCTTTTTTTGTTTGCTTGTTTTTCGAAACAGGGTTTCTTTGTGGCTTTGGCGACTATTCTGGAACTAGCTCTGGTAGACCAGACTGGTCTCGAAATCACAGAGATCTGCCTGCCTCTGCCTCCTAAGTGCTGGGATTAAAGGCATGCGCCACCACCGGCTGGTACAAAAGAAAGGTTTATTTATTTACTTTTTACTTACTTTGGGGGGCATTGAGACAGGGTTTCTCTGTGTAACTGCTCCGTGGCTGTCTTGGAACTTGCTTTGTAGACCAGGCTGGCCTTGAACTAACAGAGATTGGCCTGTATCTGCCTCCCAAGTGCTGGGATTAAAGGGGTGTGTCACTACTGACAGTTTATTTACTTATTTAATATATGTGTGCCTGAGTGCTTATATGTGTAATACATATACATATGCATATGCATATACATATACATATACATACATACATACATACATATACACACACACACACACACACACACATATATGTCCCATTAGAGGCCAGAAATAGGCCCCAAATCCTCTGAAACTGGAGTTACAGGTACTTGTGAGCCGTCAGATATAGGTGCTGGGAGCTGAACCCAGGACTTTTACAAGACTAGCAAGTGCTGGTCATTCAATAGTTGATGTTGACAAGACCAAATAAAGGCTACACTGTCAGTGTAGGGGGAACAAAAGGTTCTATGCAAAGCAGTTCAAAAAGAAACTTTGAATATTTCAACATGGCTCTGGGTAGGAGTCAGAAATAAAAACCTTCCCCGAACTGAAACCACAAACACATTCTTGTGGTTGTTGGGATCTGATTCTACCAAATGATTCAAAAAAGGTCAGGGAGAGAGTTTAATCTAAGGTGGTCTCTGTGTGGTTTGGAGCCATGTTTGAGGAGTGAACTCAGCTTCTCTCTAGAAAAACTTGACTTCAATCCAAGCTGACAGCAGTTGATAAGGCTCACTGGATGCTAACTACATGTTAATTTTAGTTATATTAACCTATAGAAATATGTATCACAGAAGTAGTGAGATATTGTTATTGACTGGGGAGAATAGATCAACATGTCTCAAAATTAAGCCTCTAGGCTTCAAATACACTGTGTGTATGTGTGTGTCTGTCTGTCTGTCTCTTCTGTCTGTCTGTGTGTGAAGGAAAGACAAGGAGGGGATCAAGACAAAGTGGATGCCAGCTGTAAGAGGGTTCACCACCACTACTCTGAACCCCAGCATTGCAGGACAGGAGCCTATGGAGATGTCACATGTCACACATGCCCACAATCTTTTTGTACACTTTGAATATGTATTACTCTCATTGACTAATAAGGAGCTGACAGCTTCTAACTAGGCAGGATTTTCAGGGAGAGAGGGCTCTGGAAGAAGGAAAAGCAGAGTCACAGGAGTCATCAGCCAGACCTAGAGGAAGCAGGATGTGTACAAACGAAGTAACCAGCCGTGAGCCAGGTGGCAGCAAGTAAATAGATGTAAATGGGTTAATTTATGAGAATTAGTTGTCTACGGCCACACCCCTGAATGCACCTGATCTTGGATGGGAGCATTAGTTAAAAACAAGTCTAAGCTATTGGCTGAGCATTTATAATTAATAATTAGTCTCTGTGTGGTTATTTGGGAGCTGCTGATCTTGACAAAGAACTCCACCTACACGTGCCACTAACATCAAAGCTAGCTCAGGCTTCCTCCTCCTCCTTCCTCCTCCTCCTCCACTTTCTCCTCCTCCTCTTCTCTCTTGGTTTTTCAAGACAAGGTTTCTCTATGTAACAGCCCTGACTGTCCTAGAACTTGTTCTGTAGACCAGGCTGGCCTTGAACTCACAGAGATCTGCCTGCCTCTGCCTCCCGAGTGCTAGGATTAAAGGTGCCTCCTGCCACACCTGGCTTAGCTCAGGCCTCTTAAAGTGAGGGCTGAATGCCGGTTGCCCCAGTGTCCTCGCTTGTTCCTGGCATCATGTGTGGTGTAGAGAGTGGGTACAGACTGCAGTATGGCGTAAAGGACAGAAAGGTACTTTCTTGCAGTTTTGGTTCTGGAGGCTAGGAATGTGTCAGATGGGCTGGGAGGTCTTTCTTCCTGGGTTGTGGTCAGCTTCACACGGTGGGGGGGGGGCGGGCACAGGTGTGATGGGGGTTGGACTGAATTCTTGCTTCTTTTTCTCTTATTGTAAACACACCAGTCTTCAAAACTACTGAATAAGGGCTTTAACCTCATGACCTGGTTTTAGTAGAACTACCTCCTGAAAGGCCTATCTCCAAACATAGTTACCTAGGATGGCCCTGGAAGGACACAGTTCAGTCCCTAACAGTCTACTGGAATACATTTGTGTTAAATTAGTAACATTTAGTCCCATAATCTCCTCCCTCCCTTCCTCTCCTCTCCCTCCATTCCTTCCTTTCTCCCTCTCTCTCTTCTTGTACTCTCTTCTCCCTTCCTTCTTTGCTTTTCTTTTAATTGACTTTTTTTCAATGTATTTATTGATTTTTTATTTTCCTGAGACAAAGAGTTTCTCTATGTAGCCCTGGCTGTCCTGGAACTTGCTCTATAGACCAGGCTGGCCTTGAACTCAGAGATGCCTGCCTCTGCCTCTCAAGTGCTGGGATTAAAGGTGTGTGCCACTACCACCCAGTTTGGTGTTTTTTATTTTTATTTTTTTTAGGCACAGTCTTCTGTAGCCCAGCCTGACCTCCAACTTGCTATGTAGCCAAGAATGATGTCAAACACCTGAAGCTCCTGCCTCCACCTCCTAAGTGTGGAGCTAGGGGTGTGTGCCCCACTTATGGCTTCCTATCCCATTTCTGATGGTCTTATCCGCTGACACGAACTAGAGTTGATCTTTTGTCTAACTGAGCCTATTTCATCTTTCTTCTGTGGATCCTTTCTGAAGAAATTGATCTTTGTCTTCCAAGTAATCCTCTCTATTTGATAAATGTTTATATATAACATGACTACCAGGAGAACCAAAATGAAGACTGAGAACCCTGAGCTACAACAGGGAAATGAAGCAGCCAGAATCCGAGGAGAGGCAAGGAGAGGGAGAGGACTTGCTTCTTCTGTCAACATCAACCGGAGACAGAGCTCATTGTCATAAATAAGAAAAAGGACCGACCCCTCTTCCCTCAGAATAAAAGCAGACAGAACATCATCTCAGAACAATGGCCTCTTCTTCCGTTCCAACTGGTGTAACTTTATGAAAAATCTATCTATAATCTATCTGTCTGTCTATTTCTCAGTCACCTATCCATCTACCCATCCATCCATCCATTCATTCGTCTGTCTGTCTATCATCTGTCCATCTATCATTTACTTATCTAATTTTTTATGGTATTTTTAAAAATTTAAATTAGAAACAAGCTTGCTTCACATGTCAATCCCAGCTCTCTCTCCTTCCTTTCCTCCCCTGCCCCCCACCAACCCCCCCACCCAACCCCCATTTCACTCCCCAGGGAGGTCCAGAGTCTGTCATTTCATCCAGGGCAGGGTCTAGGCCCTCCCCTATGTAAATTTTTTTTCTTTTTGTTTTTCGAGACAGGGTTTTTCTGTGGCTTTGGAGGCTGTCCTAGAACTAGCTCTAGTAGACCAGGCTTATCTCGAACTCACAGAGATCTGCCTGCCTCTGCCTCCTGAGTGCTGGGATTAAAGGCATGCGCCACCACTGCCTGGCTGTAATTTTTTCTTATAGGGTTCTACTATGTAATCTGGGCTGGCCTGGAACTCACAGAGATCCACCTGCCTGTGTCTTCTGAGGAATTAAACAAAGTATGTTCCACTGTACCTGATTCTACTTTAGATATGCTTTTTTATGTTTTGATTTATTGATTGAAAATTTCATAAAATGTGTTTTGATAGTGTTTGCTCCTCCCCCCCCAATATCCTGTAGAACCTCCCCGAACTTGTATTGGCCAGCGACTTCCTGGGTGTGGGGCCAGCCCTGGAGCATGGTGGAGAGCTGCTTCAAGTCTTTAGACTTTTTTTTCTTGTATTCTTCTCTGAGATGGTCAAAAAATTCATCACTGTCTGATGTTTCAGAGAGAGAAGGCTGCTTTAGCCCAACTCTTTTTTTTATTTAAATTTTTTTTCATTTTACATCCCAACCCCAGTTCCCCCTTCCTCCCTTTCTTCCACCCCTACCTCCCCTCCCCACCCCCTATCTGCTCCTCAGAGGGGCAAGGCCTTGCTTGGACCTTAATTTTCTTCTCCTTGTTCAATCTCCTTCCCACCAGAGTCTCATATATCTCAGGCTGGCCTTGAACTCCCCATGTAGCTAGGATGATCTTGGACTTGTGCTTCTCCTGCCTTTACCTTCTGAGCTCTGGAATTACAAGCGTGTCCCACACCTAGTTTATCCGTCTCTGGGGATTGCACCCAGGGTATCATGCATGTTAGTTCAGCTCTCAACCAATGGGACCACACTCCTGAGCCCTTGAACTATTTTTTCATGTAGAATATAAGAATGCAGGCTTGTTGAAAAGACTAAATAAGATAGTGTGTATAAAGCACATGGTGATACTAAAATATCAAAATAGGGTCCGAGGTCAGGACCCCAGTGGTATTCCTAGCACCAGGACCCCCTTGTGAACCAATAGTGGATCTGACATTTAAACATGTGAGCCACATGTGTTTCAATGGGCCTTGGGTGACCATGGAATTGAGTGATTTTTTTTTTTTTATTTTTGGTCCCTTAAAAGCCCCATCTCTTTGCAGAAACCACAGCAAACACCATGCAGCATGCGGAAAGGATCACTTATTTATTATCGCTCTGCGTCAGAAACCATCTGGATCATTTTCTTAGAGCAGATGTTTTACCAAATTAGCTTCGAAAACTGAGACTTCATGGAGGGTTTTTCTGTTAGCACAATGAATGCATGTAGGACAGATGTAGATAAACTTTTCAAAACAATATTAAGCCACATTAGAGTCAGGTGAAAAACCATGGTGACTGCATGCATCCTTCAGTTTGCTCAGGGAGGCTTAGCTCCTCTGGCTGCCAAGGGAATGATTTAGAAATGACTCGGAAGTGCAAAATTCGTTAAAAAAAAAAAGTCCCTAAGAAGACTGGAAGACTGTCGTGTTCCTGCTTTTCTCAATGGTGGTTGTTATTAATTATGCCTTCTGACACTGTTCCAGACCCGAGAATAAGAAGAGGTTCTAGCCTCTACTCTCAGGGACCTCAGGGTTTCATTGACAAACAGGTCAGCTGACCTGTATGGCAAAGGTTGCCTGGACACCACCACTGTCTCCATTATGAGCTGTTTAAATGTGCCAGGTTGTGTGTTCTCCTAAATGTTGGTTTCTTGCTTCTATTTGATCTACTGAGGCAGTCTTTTTTAAGATTTATTTTATTCTGGGGGCCAGAGTGATGGGTCTGTGGTTAAGAGCATTTGCTGCTCTTGTAGAGGACCTGGACTTGGTTCCCAGCACAGTGTGTGCACATGAGTGCAGTGCCCTCAGAGGCCAGGAGAATGTCCAATCCCCCTGGAGCCAGAGTTATAGGTGGTTGTGAACTGTTGACCTGGGCGCTGGGAACCAAACTCAGGTCCTCTGCAAGAGCAGTAAGCAATCTTCATTGCCCAGCCATCTCTCTAGCCCCTGAGATAGAGTCTTATGTAGCCCAGGATGGTCCCCAGCTCTCTCTGTGTCTCAGGATGACGCTGAACTCCTTATCTTCCAGCTCTTACCTCTCAAGTTCTGGAATCACAGAGTGCACCCCCACATCTGGCTAACAGCTTCTTTACTGGCCCATGGAGACTCTCCAAACTTTTGCTTACCGTTTATTGTTGGGGCCCACTGTTATTGACTCCTTTCCATCAAGACTTAAGGTCAGAGAATCCAAACCTATTCTTGCTCCTTGAGGATAAACAGGATGTTTGGCCAGAGGTGTGGCTACGTGAGGTCTTGCTTCTCAAGACCAAACAACACCGTGCTTGACTTAGGGCATGGTTACGAGATGTTTTGAGTATTAAGGAGGTACTTGTGCCTGTTTGTTCCTTGTATCATTGACAAGGAAGTCTTTTGCCCTCCCCTTTTGCTTGGGGTATATAATGGCTATGAGTAATAGACTTGGGGCGCCAGCATTATTCACTGAGAGCCCTCCTGACTCTATTTTCTGTTTTTTTTTTTGTGTGTGTGTGTGTGTGTGTGTTTTTCTCAATCCTCACTCCCCTTTCCAGACACGTTTGAACAGGTCGGGTGGTCCTGACAATTTATCAGCATGCACAGTCTAATGCCTTTCATGGAGAGGCTCTTAAATTACATTAAACGTTCTCTACGGAGTGGATTACAGCGTCTGCAACTGGGAAGTGCTCAGTAAAGTACAGCTGTTATTACCACCAATGCTGTGACCATCATGCACCTTGAAGCAAAGAGAGTGCTCCCGTTTTCCTGACTCCACCAGCAGCGAGGACAAAAAGGATTTGTATTTGATAGACAGACGGTATTTGTTTTAGTTTGCAGTTTTTTTCACACTCTATTTTTTTTTTTTTTGGGCGGTGGGAGTTCTAAGGAGTAGCTTTCCATGTAGCTTTCTCCCATGCGCCCTCATTTCCTTCCTGTATAAGCCTTTCCTCCCCCAGCACACCCCTCTATTAACTCCTCCTCTTGTCCTTTAAAATTTTTATTTTGCTGGGGGGGTGTCATATGCACTTAATCCTAGCACTTGGGAGCAGAGATGGCCAGGTATCTGAGTTCAAGGTCAGCCAGGACTACGCAGAGAAACCCTGTCTTGAAAAAATCAAACCAAACCAGACAGAAACAGAAAAACACTCCCCTCCCAAATAAACAGACAAATAATAACAACAAAAGAAAAAAAAACAGTGTAACATGAAAAATAAAAGACTCAGAGACAGATATTGGGGTTCAAACTTGAAGCTAAAGATCAGAAAAGCAAAGCAGCCAACCACTAGCTCTTACCTGCAGCTCAGGCTGAAAGGGCTGATCGACGAACAAGCTCTTCATCAAGTCTCAAACTGCTGCCTCTCCTCAATGTAGCTGGGGAACGAATGCCTCTCTGAGATCTTGTTTCTCAGATACAAGGGAGATACTTCCCTAACGTTGGGATTAAATTTTCTTTTTAGACCAATTCACTCTTGTGTAGATCTAGGTGGCTTGGATTCACAGGGATCCACCTATCTCTTAACCCCGAGTCCTAGGATTAAAGCATGTACCACCCCCTCTCAGTTTCTGGCTGATGGGATGGAAGTTGTGTGCCTGGCTTCCGTGACTTGTAGCTGACTTTGCTTTCTGAATCCTCAGGCAAGCTTTAATGAGTCGTAAACAGTATCTCACCACAGACCGGGACCTAAGGCCACATTTGACCAGAAGGAATAAAATGAAAAGAACATTAAGAAGTGGCACAGCCTCTCAGCCCAAGGGCAGGCCCCTGAAGTCAGCCAGCCTGGGTTCAAATCTCAGCCACGCCACTTCCAAGTCTGGCCATTTTTAGATTGTTTCTCTGTGGAAAGAGAGGGCTGGGGAGTGAACGTCTCCATGCCCTGTCTCCTCCTTTGTGAGGAAACCCAGGAGGACTTCTGTGGGGGAGGGTTTCTCTCGAGGCAGAGTAAGGTACCGTGTGTGAGGCAAGAGCACAGCGGACTCTGAACAGTATATTAGTTATTCTTCTGTTGCTTGTCTTGGGGTTTCTGTTGCTGTCAGGAAACACCAGGATGAAAAGCAAATGGGGTTGGGTGTGTGTGGGGAGAAGAGTTTATTTGGCTTCCATTTCCACAGCACTGTTCATCGATGGAGGAAGCCAGGACAGGAACTCAAACAGGGCAGGAACCCACAAGCAGGAGCTGATGCAGAGACCATGGAGGGGTGCTGCTTATTGTCTTGCTCCTCATGGATTGCTCAATCTGCTTTCTTATAGAACCCAGGACCATCAGCCCAGGGATGGCACCATCCACAGTGGGCTGGACCCTCCTCCATTGATCACTAATTAAGAAAATGCCTTACAGCTGGAACTTACAGGGGCATTTTTTCAACCAAGGTTCCCTCCTCTCCGATGACTCTAGTTCTTGTGAATTTGACATAAAAGTAACCAGAGCAAGCACCGTGACCTTGACCAGAATCAACTGCAGAAGGAAGAGTTTATTTTGGCTTCTGGTTCCAGAGGGAGAGTCCATACTGGTGGGAGGACAGGAAGCTGAA